TTAATTTAACGTTCCCTTAAAGTGGTTGATTAAGCATTAAGCATCTTGCAAGAAATGTTGCTTACAAAGATGAAATGTATACTATTTATAATATTGTACGCGTAAAATATTTATAATAGGGTAATGTATCTGTGTACTCAACCTATCAGGAGCAGGATCAGGATCAATGCTTGCTGAGTCTGCGATGAAGTTCCCAGATGAAGTCCCCATATCTTTATAGTTGACCAGATGTGCACCAATGTGCTGTACTCCTTATTAATCACTAGTTCACTTCTTTCTTTTTTGTAATTTAATCAAAGTCACTTTTTGGTTTTTTAACACTTACTGATTTTAGCCAGTCGAAATTTTGGCATTCCTACACTTGAAAATAGCGGTTTAGTTTCCGCTGTCACCAGATGAAGCGCCCATACTCCGTTGCGCATCCATGTTTCACTCCCGTGTTGATGTGCCCAACGTAGAGCAACAACTCGCGTGGTCTTTCTTTCTCCGTAAAATGAAAGACAGTGCAATTCCATTCCTACTGTATGGAAAAAGCTCTTTGATGAATCAGTTATCCTGAGGTTGGAACTGTGCTCGTCCGCACCTAGCAAACCTCGGATAATAAACTCATCAGAACAACTGCCCCGATTCTTTATTCTTCGAAACCTTTTATACATGAATTTGTTACTTAAACTCTACACAATAGTTTTTCTCCAGTATGTACATATAAAGCGAGACAGATAGTTTTTCTCTTGGAAAGTCGGTGTCTGTTTTTTTTAACAAGAATTAATGCTCCTCGCGGTAGGAACGGCTATGTAGGATGCTTACTCACCAATGTTTACTTTGACCTTTCGCGAAGCACCTAGTTAAGCCAGCGCGCATCGCTGACGACGCGGTAGCAACTGTTTATAAACAACTGACTCTGGAAATGTGCAACATTGTCACTGCTGCTGTTAAGTTGTGTATTTTTCTACTACCGTATGGGGGTCTATTACTGGTTAATTTCTTACTCAGATTGATATTGGATTTTGAGGCCTTTGCACTGACACTACTCTTCTTTTGTCTTCGGGGCCCCTTCACCTGCCACTGCCGTCGTCGTCGTTCCTCTCCTTCCTCTGGTACCGCATCACCTTCTTGGGCCAGGGGTGGACGCCTCTACCAGTCCCGTACGCCCCTCAAGTATGGTGACGGACTCGAGGTTTCAACGAACCACAAGGGTAAGTTAGCTTGCGATTGGCGTGGTCGACTCCGGAAAAAATACGTTGAGTATGCAAATGTTACGGTAAAACCGCGAGGTCCTGTGGGCGCGCAGGAGAATTCGAAATGGCGGTTATCGACAGGATCTCACTACACAATGGTTGGATCTGGTTCGGGGTTTTCTTGGTGATGGTAATTACCTGGCTGTCCAATGATACGTGGCAACTTCCTCTACAACTTCTTCAAACTTCCAACTTAGCTCACTTTAGCACTTTAGCTTTAGTTTTCACCTTCAAACTATTAATTTTTAGCTTTCACTTTCGCTATGAGACCGTACTCTATAATGATCACCAGGATTATGACTGTGCCTCTTGGTGGACGATGACCCTGAACCAGGACCGTTGAACCGTCGTACGTGCCACGAATTTTCCACGCAATGGCTCCCATTACGCCACCCCTATGGCCGTCCATTCATGACTTCACACAGCGTGTCAATTTATATGGAAATGTCTCCTACTGGCTGCGTTCGTGGGGATTCTGGGACGTTTTACCTTTTACAAACATTTAAACCTTTATTTGGATTAAAAAAAAAATATACGAAAACTACACGCGAAAAATCTCACCAATCTTGGATGCAACACTTACACTTGTTACACTCGAGTTCTATTTTTAAATTTCAGAATTTTTAAATATTTAAAAGTATGTTCATGTCCAGGACTCAAAAAATGTCAAATCTTCCACAGCCTTGCTTTTTTTTTAAATTTGGCGTCTTCGATAGAAAATAAAGATCAAAATCTTTATACAGGGGAAATGGATGTAATGTCAGCCTAAATGCCTCTAATTTGGGCCCATACATAAATTCAGCAATCGACTAAATTTTCAATAGCGACCAAAAATATCCATCAGTACCGTCCCAATGAAGCGTTCATCTAGATAAAATTGATAAATAGCAGATTTTTTGCATTCATTTCATACATTCATTCACATTCATTTGCCAATAATTCTTTTAATCAAACGCATTCCGCAAAATTACGTATGGAGCTTTTTAAGTTTTTGTTATTAACTACAATTTTTGCTCATAACTCAAATCTCTATCTCTTATGCATCACGAACTAGAGTGGGCAGAACTTGTTACTGGTTTTCAGTGAATGTAAAATACATTCACTGAAAAACAGTAGTGACTTCTGTTCGCTTTGGTTCGTCATGCATAAGAGATACGGAGTTGGCGTGTTTACAATAATTGTAGCTAATAATAAAACCTACAAAAGCTACATACATTATTTTGCGGAATGCTGTTTTTAGAGGCAAATGAATGTAAATGAATGCACGAAATGAATGCAAATGATTTTTCATGCCTGGTCTCAAGTATGAGAAATATATTTATGTTACTTCCAAAAAACGTGTAAAATCTTCAAAGCATCTTGCACCAGAGCTCCAGAAACCACACTGTCACAGACAGAGTTGAGTTTGAAATAATAGTAAGTATTTCCTACTATACTTTATCTACCATACCCACAAATTCTGAAATTACCAGGACTCTAAGAATTTTAAACATTGAAAACTACAAAGATTTCCGAAATCATTCAAACTGTTCCCTGATCTCTGATCTTAAAGTTTTGTTAGCTTCGAAAGCTTAGTAGGCTCCGCAAACTAATCCAGGCCTACAGGTAATTTTTGAACTGATCGATAAAAGTTTAAAATCAGCGAAAAATCCAAAAATTAGAAAATTTATTCTGAATTAGTGCAGACTTTATTCAGTTCACCCCATTTAGTGATAAAAATTAAAAATGGTCAATTAATGATAGGGGAAAAGTTGGCTTCGGCAATACCTTATCCTATTATTGTCAGGGGGTAAACAACGTCCTTGAGAGCTCAATTTTGGCATGTGGATACATTGTGTTTCAGAGAAACTATTGGCCAAATTTGAGTGCTGTAGGACTTTGTTTACCCCCCTGACGATAATAGGTTAAGGTATTGCCGAAGCCAACTTTTCCCCTAATTAATTTAGCACGTATAAAGGTCATTTGAAATTTTACCGACTCTTTCAGTTCAAAAACCCGGTAACATTTTATCTACTTCGGTGATCTGAATTAAATTTTCAATTTTCAGATCTCGTAGTAACTGGTGTTTTCTGGTGCACCCGAAATTGAAGCATTACCGTTAATTTTACATGCTGATCTTCTGGAATATCTGATAAAATTAGCTATGAAGCTGACCCTAGGAAATAGAGATTTCTACAACAATCCTTTTATTTTCAGAGGCACTAATCAGAAACTATCCACTATTTCGTAATGTAAAAAAACAAATTTGATGAAAACATGATTTTTTTTTAAGAATCTGATAAATTTTATGCATATGCTCATTATAATCTTAAAAATATAGGTAATTTTGGACTTTTTTGTTTAATGATCTCAATTAAAAAATATCAAGATTCGGCGATATTGTATTTTTGTTTTCAAATTCTGGGCTGGAACACATCATAAAGATTTTTTTAATTCATGGATTTATTCATATATTAAATAATATTAGCACGGAATCGAAGTCGGCAGACATAGTTTAAAGAAGTCGGAGTCGGAATATTTTTACCGACGACAGCCCTTCCAAAGAGGCATCTGATAGTTGATCATCGTCCTGGTGCCACCGTGGGACTCTTAACAATCCTGTGCACGATAGTCCTCCGGTAGTTGTTGCAGGCTATTTATGCCAGCCGTGAAACCTTAAAATCCAAAAACAATCGGCTTAGATCCAGAATTGGAAACATGGAACTAGAACTATGAACTCAATTTCTTAAGAAGTTACCCCATATCTTTAATTCAACAATGTAACAATACAGGATGTGTACTTTGACATTCAATATTGACCCGTTTGCCCCATACAAACAGTCCTCGATTTTAAAATCTTGATTCAACTAGTTTAAATTATTTATCAACATAGAAGGATTATTTCCAGTTGTATTGCGCCTCAGTATCACGCGAAAAGATTAGCTTGTTTGCATGTGCGCAGAATTAGGGTAGTCACAGTCATCAAAGTTTACTAAATCCCTCCGATATCAGCACTGACGTAGCTTTTTTATCAGCATAAATTGGCAACACGAGCTCTGTAGACGAGAAGAAATGTGCTTACACTGTGGTCTCCCCAAGTTTACGATTTCCTTATCAACAATTGCACTGACAAACAACATTAGACCCGAGCCTTTTGAGGTTTACGCACGTGTGGAGTCTTTGATTCATTCTCGTTTACCGCTTTGCGTCATTTACGTTAGCGAAAACTTAGGGGGAAACAGTGAACACAAATTGGTCAAACATGCATCTTCTGGAGTATAAATTTCAGCTACCAGAAAACATGCAAAAACAAAACTGCTTCCAAAACTTCGCAGTGGTGCAGCAAGTATGGAGAAAAAAAAATTAAGCTGGAAATCGCTATAGCAGCCGAGATTTACCCTCTAAAACATTTTAAGCGGTAGTGCAAGTCAGCCATCCTAACAGCGATTTGTGGACCCTGTATCGTATCACCTTAAAGAGTGTGATAAGATTGATCTAGAAGGATACTGCGTGACCACTTCATTTGTTGATAATAAAATTAATCCAAATTTCATAAATCATACCGACCTAATCTTATCACCAGAAAATATTGCATATCGACCTAACCCAAGGCCTACGAAGTGACCGTTGGCAAAAATATAAACAATCAGTCTGAACACCACCGACGATAATCGGAGCAATATATCTGTCTTTCATCGGAACGAGTTCAGCCGGTCATTAACAGATTAGGCTTTGTATAAAAACCATATACCGCGAACCCTTTAATTAGTTGTTTATTCAGATATAAAAATCCTAACAATGAACACTTGGCTTGTTATTGGGACACTGCTTTTTTTGAGCGGAGCTACCCAAGCAGATTCAGCAACGTTCTGCAATGACGGCTTTTGCAACCGTCCCAATTCTACCACCACCCAAAGACCCGGCAATACAACTACTCCTGCGCCATCTCGTAACAGATGCAATGGAATGCCCGATGAAACGCTGTTCCCCTCAATCACTGATTGTGCTTATTTTGTGACGTGTCAGGGTGGATTAGAAATGGAACTCGAGTGTCGCCCAGAAGGAACATTATTTGATTACGAGCGTCTAGTCTGTGATCATCCAGAGAATGTCCAATGTTACGAACACGATAGGTGCTCCACGGAAGAAGATGGTCGAATCCTCCCATCGAAAATATGTTCGAATTTTTTCATCTGTCGTAATGGTGTAAAAAGCGAGGAGATAACCTGCGTACCCGATGGCACCCTGTTTGACTACCAACGTGGTGTTTGTGATCATCCATCCAACGTTGTGTGCTGGGGTTCATCTAGTCCAAATTTGTGTGCAGGAAAACCGGACGGAGCCTTGGTGCCATCAGTTGAATGTTCAAATTTCTTCGAGTGTAAAGACGGACAGCATGGCGAAGAAATAACGTGCCTTCCCGCAGGAACCGTTTTCGACTATCAACGAGAAGTTTGCGATTTTCCAGAAAATGTAGTTTGCTGGACTCCTGGAGGTGAATCCACTACCGGGGCACCAACCAGACCACCGCGCCCAGAAGATATTCCACACGATATCTGCCGAGGGGTTGTGATTGATGCTATACCCCATCCCAGCGATTGCACCCAATTTATTGTATGCGTTCTTGGGCAACCCACAGTTGAACAGTGTCCACCAAATTATATTTTCTACCCGTTGTTTAGGGTATGTGGTTACGGAAATACAGAAACCTGTGAGATCGATTCACGTTGGGTGGAGGAGTATCTTAAAGGGCAGGGCCGCATAGAGGATTTTGAGTTATATTAGAAAGCGTTAACATTATTTCAAATTGTACGCATTTGATCAAGTTTGTAAATATATAAA